TAAAAGCAACCAGACTGGTACGCAAAACACACACAAATTAAAATAGGCAAGTAAGAAAACACGTAAAAATAAACAAATATAATTACATAAATTAGAAAAGGTAAGTAGTCGTATAATCTTTCACAAATCACAGCTTCCAGATCGGTTGCTTAAGAGAAAATATTTGACGTAATACAATAGAAATATAATTTTTTTCCATTTAGTGAGTTTCTGATTCTACTTGTACTTAATTTTTTACCAAAAAATTGTCAATCCCCTCATAATATAATTGAAGAGAAAAGTGGATAAAGGTGTCATTTAAAAAAATGTTATATGACGCCTTTATCCACTTGTGTCAACAATTATTCCAAAGTTATGTTTTAAAAATAGAATATTTTTCGATATTCAGAAAGAAAAATTCAAGAAACATACATGAATAGTCAGAAAAGTTGTATCTAGGAATTAAAAGTATACGAGCCTCGTAATGTTCTAAAAAATTCCACATATCAAACAATTTCCCGGCCCACGAAGACTAAAAAGAAATGGCCAAGCAGATTTTGAAATAGTTAGGACAAAATGTAGAAAAGAAGTGCGAACGGTTCCCGTTTCGACGACAAAGCCTGAAAAGCGAATCTATATCAGATATGCTTTTTCTTCGACGCACCAGTATATCAATTGGGATAACGCCATATACGCAACAAGACCATGTGAGCGCAATATACAGAGTGATTCGACGTCAGTGTGTAAGCCGAAACGGTAGTCACACGTTACGTTCACATGCTGAGAAACTCGCAAGGTCACCACACATCAATGTCGTAAACTTTCGTAAGAATAGCATTTCACAATCATAGTAGCTAAAAAAAGGTTTTGTTCGAATTGGATTGTTGATAATATTCCTTTTTACGCGTGGTCTAATCTGCTATTGTTGCCAAAACGATATTGACGCAAAAGCCCAGTATTATATTAACAATAGGTACTAATAATTCATTAATACTTGTCTTTTTAAACTTTATAACAATATCCCATCGAGGATTACGATGTATTCATATTCTTACTTAGGTGTATGCAAAAAATTTGCTTTACTTTACCTTCGGTCATTAGGAAAGATGGTGAAGTGGAAGGTGAAACTGCCGATTTTTTCGATATTGACGATATTTAGTTTAACATTTAATCATGGCGTAGCACGAGGTAAGCCTACTTTACACCAAACACTCCAATGAATGGGCGGATTTAGGGAAATATGGCGCTTAAATAGCTAACTGACACAGAGCCTTGAATAAATGTGAATGCGCCTATTGCGTTTATTTGCATCAAATATTAAATACATTCCAAAAAGGCTATAATAATAATATTTTGTTCTAATTCTCCTGGTTTTATTCAAACTCCTAATCCTAAGCCTAGAAATTATAGCTTACCTCACAACTAATGTTTATTTATCTTCAATTTCTTGTAGTCAAAAATTTACAGGGTGGCCCACCGAAAACGAAACAAACGCATTTACTGGCAAGTCATTTTTTTTTTGGAAAAACGCTCAGACCCATCGATTTTGTTTTCGAGGAGGACACATGTTTGGCAAAAAATCACGTTAACACTGCAGCCCGCTGGCCTTGTTAATGTTTCAGATCGGTTATGTAACCCAACAAATAGACCTACAAAAAAGCCAGATATCTTTTCAATAGGAGGTCACGATTGTCAGACCGCTAAATGAAACCACATATATTTGAATTACTACAGTAAATAGTCATTTAAGCACATTTGTTTCCATTAAGTGGCCAGTGAATCATCGAATCCTACCAGCATGAATAGAACAGGATAAGCTCAAACTTACAACCGAAAATCATACAAAAATACTTACGTTGACAATCTTTTTGCTCGAATTTCTATCTAAAATGATCTCCACTTACCAAAATAAGATTTATAGAATATATTTTTACAACGTACCAGTAACAATCATAAAAGAATCCTATGCCTGCTACTTATTTTGAAACCTATATATACAGGGTGACTTTGAAGTTGAGTCATTAATTTTCAGATAATGATTGTAGAAGGAAGATAAACCAAAATATGTGTGGAAAAATAAAAAAAAATTCAAAAAAAATGTTTACCTGGTTTTATAAAGTATCCTCCCGACAAGTATTTCAGTGCGGACCTGTATTTGATCGTGCGGTCTTGGAGCACCGGCATGCCCTCCCCTGTGAGGTCTTAAGTCACCTGATTCACGAGCCCGTTGTACTACATTAACAAAGGCACGAGGGGTTGGTTGCACTCGATTGGGAAACCGATCCGCATAAACATGTGCCATTTTTTATTTCGTTTGAGCCACGCAACAGACACTATTCACACGCGTTACCGACTGACATTGACTGTATGTATAACTGAACTGAATAAAATAATTGTAAAAACATCGTTCCAAATTCTTTCGCTTTTTTGTTTCCGATGCGATGAACCGATAAGGCGGATTATATCCGTTGTTGCCAAACACGAGCACATGATATTATTATTGAGACAGGGCGGTACTCAAACTTCCAAAGGGCTATAACTTTGTTACTTTAATTTTACCAGAAAAATGGTAAAGGAAAAAAACATTTCTTTTGATCAGATCTACTCACTGTTAAAATAAATGACTCAACTTCGAAGTCACCCTGTAGATCATAAATCTGTCAATGTTTTAATATTTTAGAGCAACTTTGCAACATATACAACTGCCCGTCGCCTTTTAAATGTGACGAAGAAAAAGATCAATGTTATTTCGACCCGCCTGCAACTGAGAATGGAGGTGAGTTTATCAGACCAGTTCGTAGAAAAAAAAAATGAAAATTGTACACTCACTTTGAAAAAGATCTACTTTAAAATGTGTGGTCACTAATGTATAGATTTGGACAAGTGGTCCAAATGCATATTTCTTTTTCATCAAATATTTTAGGTCAGACTGATCTCCTTTAATGAAATTATTCATGTTTGCATGCGTAATTCAATACCATCAAAGTCTACTACTCACCAGTGCCTAAATTGAAATGGATGAGAAACTAACCTGTAACAAAAAATTAGTTTGAATAAAAATATAAGCAGCTTTTAAAAAAAAATCAAAATTCAACATTTTGTTTCAATGATGGTACTTTTAGGTCCGAACTGTAACGAAAATACGTGTCAACCACCTTTCCAGTGCGACCCCGAGACTGACATCTGTTACATGGTTCCAAATGCTCCAACAGCAGGTATTCCTTTTTAGGGTCTCTATCGATAATGTCCAGAAATCAAAAAAGGACCGTATAGTCCCAATTATTATGTTTTATATTATTATTTTCCAGATAGATGGATCGACATTTTTGAATTAACAAAAGAGAAACACGATTAGCAATCATTGCTTGAATCATTCATGTTGCCATTTTTATCTATAGTCAATGTTTCAGAGTCATTGTGCAACAATTATAATTGTCCGCCGCCTTTCAAATGTGACAACAAGACGGATCAATGTTACTATATTCCGCCCCAAGCCGATGATAGAGGTAGGTCCTCTAGATCAGTACGTAGAGGAATATAAAACTATAATGTTTTTTTGTATATTGTAGGACCGGCTTGCAACAAACACACGTGCCACCAACCTTTCAGATGCGACTTGAAGCAAGACAAATGCTACTGGACACCAACGACGCCTGTCATTCTTTCGACACAACCAAGTCAGTCATTCATTCAGCGTCTCATTAACAAAACAACCTTAGATTGAGCACATAACAAAGTTAAACGTTCGCACCGTTATGGAAATAAGGCATGATGATATCGAACAATTGTCTATCAATAGCTGTAATATGAAAGGACTTGTTCCGATCAATGATGCGTAAGATATTGCATGGTGGCCAGTGACTGGTGGTATCGGGCATTTTCATATATTTCACCGATCTATTACGAATTTCATCCGTATGAACCAATTATGTTACGTATATTATTTGCACGTTTCAGCTCCTATTTGCAACGAAAACTCCTGTCCGCGTCCATACACGTGCGACGAGAGGCTCAACGCCTGTTACTTGGACGCTACTCTAACGACATCGTCAACAACGTTCACAACAACGCCAACGTCGACACAAAATACCACCGATCAATACATTGATTCTACCGCGGATCACAGAGGTGAGCCACGAAATACATTAAAAAAGTTGCTGTTATATCAATTAACCGAACCAAATTAGTATTGTCATACTCTTTGAGTACCACCATCCGTTGCAATGTACGTTTACTATAGCGTCACATTATACAGGGTGTTTCAGAACTGAGTGATCAAACTTCTAGGGGTTATTATGATAATCGGGTACAGTCAATCCTTGAACTTCTGGAAGTGGTAAGGATAAAGTTGCTGCTCGTGCAGCATCCGCCAGATGGAAGCGTTACTCGTATTCTGTAGAATATTCATATGAACCAAAGTTTCTACGAGGCATCTACAATCTAACATTCCTTGTTATAACATTGGGTATACATTTTGCAAAAATACTGAAAGAGCATCTTTATAAAGGAGTTCCTTTTTTTGGATACACTTTCAGAAACTCAAAAAAATGGTTTGTTCTCCATATCACTTTTTGACGAAAAGTGACATGAAAAAATCCTAATGCACAAAACATTGCTAGAATAGACAAAATGCAATAGGTATATACTTTTTTTGGTTTCAGAAAGAGAATGTAATGCAGAAAATTGTCAGTACCCATTCCAGTGCGATCCTGTGACAGATTTGTGCTACTTCATACCACCAACCGAACATCCACCAGGTCAGTATGAACTTTACATGAACAACTTGATTTCTCATTAATTTTGCCAGACTATCTAAATGCACCATATAGATGAGTCCCTTGATTAGATTTTACTATGTATAATTTTGTTGATACTTTATCCTTTATTTATTTTATTCAATAAAAAAATACCATCAGGGTAACACTCCCCCTTTTTAATTCTGCGAAATTGAACAAAAGCACATTATTATTAATTGTATCATTTTGTTGAACAGTGACACCTGCCTGCGGTCCGCTTAACTGTCCTCCGCCTTTCAGATGCGATCCAAAAGATGGTTTGTGCAAATACATGCACGATAAGGACAAATGTAAGTATATCTTTAGTGGTAGAAGTAATAATGAGATCATCATTCTATCTATAACTATTAAACCTTTCAGGGTGCAAGAAGGAGAAATGTCCCAGACCATTCCACTGTGACCGTGAGACTGAGCAGTGTCTCTTTACACCACCAAGAAATCTTACAAATCCAGACAGTATGTACATTATTAAGTTAAATAACCATTATAATAATGATCATTCCAAAATTTGCAATATGACTTCTTGCCAAACTTCCACTAACAGTGAGCGTATATAGTACTCGTCTTAGACAAAATAATATATCTGATTTACGTCAAGACATAGTTTTCTCGAAAAGCTTTTGTCTATGAGCAACGCCATATCCAAGCGCTATAGACCCATATATATATATATATATATATATATATATATATATATATATATATATATAATTTTTGATGTTGTTTCAGATTTGCCATGCAATCGACATACCTGTCCTAGGCCTTATCAGTGTGATCAGCAGGGACTGAACTGCCTGTTCTTGCCAAAAGGTCAGGATTTTATTTCATTTTTCATATACTCTGTTTTTGTTCTCCGTTAATTAAGCAAACGAAACTCGGTATAATTGGTTAATTTGCTATACTGATTTTAAATACAGCCATTAGAAAATCTTAAAATACCACGCAGCTCTGTTTAGAATAGAATGAAAAAATGAGACGTTGGGGCCTACCATCGCAGTCAGCGAAAGCGAGTCCCAGTCGAGATTAAACATGCGAAAGATATTTTCCAATAGTATGTATATAATTTTAAAGATTGTCCAATGGACGGTCTCCATGATTGTCCCCCGTAGCTACCACCGAACTAAATCAGGTGCACTCAAGTGATTTCGCTTGGTATAAAACTAGAGTTTAGGAAATTTATGATATCGATTTACTTAAAAAGTGCCCGTCCAAATCGCTGATAGGCAAAGATTGTTTATTTTGCTATACACTTGAAATAAAGGTGAATGTGCTAAGCAACCTATCATATAGCATATTTTGTGCATTCACCATTATTTGAAAAATACTAATACGTACACCTTTATCATCGCTATCATAATTTAAAAAAATTCTAACTATATTTTTTCAAATGTTTCAGGTTGCGAGGACGAGCAATGCCCACCACCATTTGCTTGCGATTTTGGGTTTTGTGTCTATCGTCCTCCTCCATCCGCAGATGGAAAGAAAAGTCAGTATTTGATCTTTACAGAATGATTATAGCTGTGAAAGACTTATTAGGCTTACCTTGGATTCATAAAATAACGTATTGCTCATACATAGTACCATATACAAGCCCTGAGACCTTCTCTTAAGGGAGTCTCACCGATTAGTCGGATTGTCATCCTCTAAGCAGAATCGGTTTAAGCTGTGTGAAGATGAGATGCTGTCTAAACATTTTACAGAGTTTTGAAATTCATCAAGAGACAAAATATTTAGAAGTCGACAAAAACAGTCAGTAAAATTTGAAATAGAATACAAACGTTGATCAGGCACAGCCAATGCCTCTTCTATACAACGTCATAATAAGCACCGATTTTCGCGTTCTTTAAATCTTTGTATCCTAATAATATATTGGATATTCCAGGAAGATGTGACAAAAGGACTTGCGAACGACCTTCATATTGTGATAAATTGCGAGATCTTTGCGTATACGTGGAACCTGTTACAATAGCAACAGAGACCCCAGGTCAGTTTTGGTCGATCCTCGAGGTAATTTAGGACGTTCGTTTTGGATATGATAATAAAAAATAGTAAAGTCTTGAGAAGTCCTGTTTGAAGTACAATTACAAGGTAATTTAAAATCTTTAGCCTATCTGAGTGAGAAACTAACATCGGATTCGTTATTTGTGCATCCGATTTACCCTAGCTGCTTTATGTCAAGATAAAATTGAAATCCTAAATAACTTCTGACTTTGAATTAGGTATAACACCAGCTTGCAGCCTCAGAAACTGTCCACCACCTTTCCAGTGTGATCCTAAAGACATGAAGTGCAAGTACATTGACCTGCGGGCTACAACACCTATACGTAAGTGTTTACTTTTTCGTTCACACATTGCAATGTGACGGAAATTGAAACGTAGGCCATTTTTTAAGTGAAAAAATAAACAGTGTCTGAAAATGATCAGGAGTTTCTAAGACGCTGTCGTTTGGAGCATACGAGCCCCATCCCACTTCAGTTGGCCCACGTCAAGATTGGTACCAAAATATGCCTTTATAAACTAAACATGACGAAACTATTTACTTCCAAAACAATTTATTTTCTCAAAAACATTTTAGATACACTCTAGTCGAAAAAAATTCATATTTGAAATCACTTAGACCTATAACTAATAGAACATCTGAACAAATAGACAATGTGGGAATAAATGCGCGAAGTTAACAAAGCAACAACTGAAAGATTAGCATTGGGTAACATCACCTTTATTTTTTATTACGGCTCAAATTTTTTGGGGCATAGTGTTAATCAAGTTTTGGCAAAAATTTGGTGTAAAACAATCCCATACTTGAAGCTTTTGTCTCAGTTCGGTGATTGTACGAGCAGGACGTTGTTGTAGAACCTTTTTCATCTCGTGTCACAAAGTTTCTAATAGGTGATAGATCTGGACTGTGAGAAAACCATTCCAAAAGTGGTACATTATTTTCTTCCATCCATTTTATAGCCTTTTTTGAGGTATGGCACGCTGCACCATCTTGCTGAAACACAAAATCTTGGCCGAATGTCAAACATACTTCCATCACTGGTAAAAGCGATTCTTCTAAAATTGCCAAATATTTGTTGGTATCCATCAATAAAATGAGGTTTTCCTACTCCTTTTGATGACATACTGCCCCAGATCATAACGAATGCTGGAAATTTCACTTTTCTCTTCAGACGGTCAATATGAAATGCTTCATTTTTTTGCGAATAACTCTACTGCGACTGCCACCAACACAAACTTCGAATCGGCGGGCCTCATCACTCTATTGTATTGCACACCATTGTTGAGGTGTCCATTGTCTATATTCTTTAGCCCATCTAAGCCGATTTTTCTTTGCAGTGGAGTTAGTAATGGCTTTTCTTTGGTCTATAAACAACTTGTGCAACTTTAGGGTTTTTACTTCACTTTTTTTTATGTGGGCCTCTCTATGAGTTGTGGACCTCGAAATTCTCCTTCCAACAACGTCACTCCACAGAGTACTTAATTGTAAATAATTGGCACGCATGTTTTTCACGATTATTCTTTTTAATGCTCTTCGGTCGGCATTTGTGATATTATTAATTAATGAATTTTCACATATCGTGGCTTAATATTAACTGAACCAGTTACATTATATCTTCTAGCAATATTTCTCACACTGTACCGCGATAAGTCTAACAAAGTTGCAATTTCTAAGTTTGATTTCCCAGAATTAAAAAATTTAATTATCAGTAATCAAATTTTCTCACTAATAACCACCTCTACCCATTTTGAAAACCTGAACTACCCAAAACTATTTTAAACATATTCTGACAGCTCTGATTAATAAAAACAATTGTCATGGCTTTTATTTTTCACAGCTACCTATGCGTTGTAAACTTATTTTGCATTAAAATGAAAATAGGTTGATTTGCTGTAATTGCAACATGTGTTATTTTTATGCTGCAAATTTGATTAGGGAGTGATAAGGTGTTTTCTACTATATATTATCAAAATATTCATTGTTAATATTTTAAACCTATAACACCCTGCTACATTTCTATTATTTGTGTTTGATAAGAAAAAAACTAAGATTTCAATAGTTGGACCAACTGAAGTGGGAAGGGGCTAGTATATTGATCTCACGTGCAAATATTGTCGAAAGCTGTTTAACCGATTTCTCTTTCTTATAGATGATACAATTGGATGTCGTAAATACTGTCGGTATCCATTCCAGTGTGACAGACAAGAACGATGCGTGTTTTTGGAGAGGAAGGTTGTTATATCTTCATTTGGAGACCAGGGTTAGCACTTATTTTATATTTATCTTTAAAATATTGTTGCTCGCACATTTTATGTTCCTGTTCCTACAAATGACTTTTTTGATTGTTAGCATGCAACGCAGAATGGTGCCAGTTTCCAGCTGCATGTAACCGAACAACAGAGCAATGCGAATGGATCGATGTAAAAATTACGCCTGATCCGTACGAACCTGTCACACTTCCGACTTATGTATCCAAAGGTGAGTAAAAGCAACACCTTTGTCGTAAAGAAAAGCACACCTTCAAGAAAGACGGAAGCCGTTCTGGTTCTGAATATTGATGAATTTGAATGAAGCAACATTTCTAGCGTATGTCTTTGATATTTTGATGTGCTAGTTTAGAGTTGTACTCTTACCAGAAGCCTGACGGCAACTGAAGGTTGGGTTTTTTGATGATTTTCAAGTGAAATCTCAACAATATCACTTTTTTGTATCACTCTATATAGTATTACGATTTGTTTCAGTCCGCTGTACAAATTCATGGTGCAAACCTCCATACGAATGCAATAAAGAAGGAGTTTGCTTAAAAGAAGAAATTGAACTTGTCCCCCCACCACCTTTACCAATACCAATACGTAAGCAAGTATATTTACAATCTCTTTACCGTAGTGGTCGGTGTGCCTAGCGAGTCTTTTCAGAAACATTCAAAGAGGACTGATTTGATTCAGAAAAATGATAAACTTCATTCATATTTAAACTCTCTACTATGAATCTATGCAGTTTTCAGAAGCCCATCTGTTCAAAATCCCTTTTATTTTTTTGCTCCTTCCTTAATCCCGCCATTTGACTCTCGAAAACGGGTTAGCCGTAAGACGTTTTAGCGGTGTTGAAAATGCTAACTTCCATAGAACATATCCATTTTGCTGGAATCCATATACATTTGAGGTTTCTTTTAGCTCCAACTTGTGGTTCGTCTTGGTGTGTGGAGCCTCATCATTGCGACAACGCTGGCGAATGTGTAGATGATCATGGAAGCAGGATACGACCACCTATTTTGCCACCGAGTATGTACCACCTTTTGTGGCCATTTCTCAATTCAGAAGTTCATATGCCTGTACCTCATAGCCAGACTAAGTTAAGTCCAAATAAGTAGTCTTGAGATAATTACGTTTGAAATATGTTTCTTGCATTGCATCTTGACATGAGTTAAAAAGTCCTTACTATTACAGATAGATGGATGCTGTATGTAGCAAATGAAAACTCACAATATTATCATAAGCTGAACATATTAAACTCATTTTTGACAAAAATCGACTTAACCTAGTCTGGCTCTGGGGTACAGATATTTATGTATGGAGTCTAATTGACAATTTTTTTGCAGAACCACAACGATGCGCCGATTGGTGTCAGGAACCGCTGTCTTGTAATCAGTTCGAAAAGTGCATAAAAACAACACTTCTTACTCAGCATCCACCGCGTAAGTACAAAAAAACAAGTGAAATCATGAAATCGACTTATCCAAGAGTCTGAGAATGAAATATCATTACCGAAAACCATAAAACTATAAATCAATGCAGAAACGAGGAACATACATATCATGAGATATAGGGTGGTGCGAAATGAACAATGTGTCTTACATTCTCCGTCACTTTATTATTTGAGGGGCAATTAAAACGAAACCTTTTTTAAATTTGCTGTACTGATGGAAAATTAGTTGCGAAAGATGTTATTTAGCATGTAGGGGCTCTTTTCGGTTTCACATAATTCTGCTCTTTTTCAATAACTTTCCGCTTTGTCACAACGATTTAAGTATTGTGATTTAAGTAGGCAATGTTTCTGACTCATAAGCAAAATGTTCGTTCAAATATTCCTGAGGAAGGTGCACTGGAATTCGTTAAATGGGTAGTTTTCAAATTGGCTCTTTAAATTGTAGGAAATTTCAGGCTGGTACGACTATAACAGATGATATTAATCAAAAGCATGCACAATTTGATGCAAATAGATATTTGTGACATAACGTCAAAGTATAGCGCCGACACGGAAAGGTAGAAAAATATGAAAATCAAGGAGGCCTACAATTGAAGGAACGGCTGACGATACGGCCCTAAATAGAGACACTATCTGCTTCTTGATAGTGTGCGCTGTAATTTAGCCTTGTTGGAATTCCATGTTTGAAGCTTCACTAAAAATGTTGCAGCATTATTCGATCTTAAGTAGCAGTAATAGAAACTAGACCTTTTGTATACTCTCAAGGTAGCTCCATCTGACAGCAGCGCTACGAAAATGATTCAATACTGTCTCGTGTAGCTGCCAATGCGGAGTCAGTTCGCTTCTTATTGATATTGAGCGTTCTTAAGTCTTGAATTGGGAGTAAAATTTGACGATTTTCAATCGCTGTTCCATGATATATCGCTTCTAATCGAATTATTCAAGCCTTACCGACTAAGTCCCAAGTAATAAAATTAACCTTAAAAAAATGTTCGAGCTATAAATAATTCGAAATATATCGTACATTTTGCGCCGCCTTGTACTAAAATCAATGCAACTATGTTTATAAGAACTTTTTATGTTATTTTTACATAGTTTTTGCTCTAAACGTTCCTTGTATATCGCGCATTTTAAGCTAGTTATAATAATAAAGTACGTTATTTATATTTGGTTTGAAGCTGCATTTAAACATAATTCTCAACAATGATTTCAGTACCGTGTTCAACCTCGTGGTGTACAGAACCTTTCGTATGTCAGGACGATGCCACTTGTATCAGAGAAAGAAGAAAGGTCATTCCGCTACCATCAAGGCCGGCAGTAAGACGTAAGTACTTATACATTTTGAATATAACTTAGGATCTAAATACAAAGTATACGAGGGATGTCTTTTAAGTTTTGCATATGGAAATCAAACAACACGGTAGGTTATTTTTAAATGACTTTATTTTTTAATTCTGGGAAATCAAACTCAGAAATTGCAATTCTGTTAGACTTATCGCGGTACAGTGTGAGAAATATTGTTAGAAGATGTAACTGGTTCAGTTAATACTAAGCCACGATACTTATGTGAAAAAAAGTAATATCACAAATGCCGGCCGAAGAGCATTAAGAAGAATAATCGTGAAAAACAGACGTGCCAATTATCTGCAATTAAGTGTTCTGTGGAGTGACGCTGTTAGAAGGACAATTTCGAGGTCTACAACTCATAGAGAGGCTCACAAACTGGGACTAGCACTTGCAAGGGAAGTTTTCTTATAAAAAAAGTGAAGTAAAACCCTAAAGTTGCACATCTTGTTACAGGCCAAAAAAAGCCACTATTAACTCAGCTACAAAAGAAAAATCGGCTTAGATGGGCTAAAGAACATAAACAATGGACACCTCAACAATGGTGTGCAATACAATGGAGTGATGAGGCCTGATTCGAAGTTTGTGTTGGTGACAGTCGCAGTAAAGTTATTCGCCAAAAAAAATGAAGCATTCCATGTTGACTGTCTGAAGAGAAAAGTGAAATTTCCTGCATCCATTGTGGTCTGGGGCAGTATGTCATCAAAAGGAGTAGGAAAACTTCATTTTATTGATGGAAATGTGCTTTGTTAACTTCGCGCATTTATTCGTACATTGTTTTTTTGTTTAGATGTTCTATTAGTTATATGTCTAAGTGATTTCAAATATTTATTTATTACGACTAGAGTGTATCTAAAATGTTTTTGAGAAAATAAATTGTTTTTGAAGTGAATAGTTTGGTCATGTTTAGTATTTTGGTACAAATCTTGAAGTGGGCCAACTGAAGTGGGAAGGGGCTCATAGTTCATTGGTTTTGAATAAATTGCTGAAGCCAACCTAAGTGAACGGTTTATTACATTTAACTAAACGACTGCGATCTGGTTTAGTTGCATTAGTTTCATCGATTCAAGTAAATTGTTTTAGAAATCCGTTTAAGTAATTAAGCTTGTTAGTTGTCACATGATTGAATTTCTTAATTGGCGAAATTGAAATTTTAATTGGATTAATTAATTTTTTTCCTTAAGGTACAAAACTTAGTTCACTAGTAACAAAGTGACAGAGTGTGTGATTTTTTAATGTTTTCCAGAACCACCTTGTATGCGTGGCTGGTGTAACCGTGGTTATTCTTGCGGAGCCGACGGAACATGCGCAAACGCAGCTGGGGAAATACTTCTACCGCCGATGCCACCGACCCCACGTAAGTATCTTTGCGCTGCAAAACTTTAACGATTTCATTCAAGAAAAAGGAGAAGAAAAAAAGAAGGAACATTTAAAAGTGTTTAATCCAGTGACAAACATTTCGGAAAAAATGTATTCTATCCAGCTCATGTAGTACAAGAACAAAATCTGATTATTTTAATCATAAATGGTACTAAGCGCTTCACCTAAAATGTGCTGCAGAAATTTGGCATTGTATAACTTTTTAACAACACTCTATTATTGCAATGCATTTGCAGACAGTTGTTCTTCAAATTGCAGATGAAAAATTCACAACATGGACAATTATAATATACTCAATTGTATGTATAAAATAAATGTTTTAGCGCAAAAAGTACGAATTATTGTTAAGCTTGAGTACCGAATCACCGTGTATGATAAACATTTCACCACTCAATAAAAATAAACCAATAATTAATAGTAACTCCGGAAACTTGTCAGAGCATTCTGAAAACCCTGAAATGACAAAGTTGACAGGAAACCATTTTTTAGGGGTAGCCGTAAATTCTAGCACTGTATCGACCCGACATCGAATTTGGAATCTACGCACCCGATTTACCCAGGAAACAAGCTTCCATCTCGATCGCAGTCGCGCAACAGTTTTTAGATATTTTTTATTAGTCGTTTTTTGACAAAGTTGAATTCTTGCCAGTATTTTAGGCATTTTCAGACTGAATGGGCCATGGATTCGGTTTCAGCGACTCAAAAAGCGTATTATAAGACATGTAACGCTCACGTTCCCGACTGACTTATTTTGTGCCTTTTTGGTAAGAATACCCCTACATGATAATTATATGTTAAAATGCTTTAACTGCGGTTCGAATGACCTTTATTCCAGGTATTTTGAACTGCCAATATCGGATCCCAGTTCGTTTTACGTGTATCTGATCCCGTTTATCATTTAGATCTAATTATTTATCGAAAAATTGCAAAACTACGAGTTTTTTGCGACTTTAAAGTGCTAAAAACCCACGTTTACTATCGATGGCTACATAGAAGTGAAGCTTTGCTCAATGAGGTAATTTGGGGCGCTGAATATGAATACCATAGTGAACAAATTCCAAAGTGTCATCAGACTGGATTTAGCGTAAAAAGGTGACAGGAAGGAAACCATTTTTCCGGGCTAGCCGTGATTTCTAGCACTGTATCGACATCGAATTTGGAATCTACGCACCCGATTTACCCAGGAAACAAGCTTCCATCTCTCGGCCTTCTATAGTTATAGCATTCTGTGACCTAGTCGATATCTCGTAATGCCCCTAGTAAAAACCAAACCAACGCCCTGCTGTACAACTTTGACAAGATCGCGAATCACGCCGCCCGACCTCATACAGGATCAGGAACTCAATTTATAGCCTCTTGGCTGACGATATTCTAACTAGGAACACCTCGGACACACTGTAAACACCCCCTTCACCGGTATTCTCAAAAGCAAACATCCCATTCACCGTTTTACACAGAAGACGTTTGATCTGGTCGTTCTCGATTCAGAACCACAAAATTCCATAGTCCAGTCGAAATAATATTGCCGGTATCTTTAATCGTACTTAGTATAAGTTCAAAGTACTTTTTTGTGAAATGCATTCACCAAGAATCGATTTATTTGTAGCACCACCACCATGTCAAATGTGGTGTCTACCACCCTTCGAATGTGACGGTCAAGACTGCGTGCAGATAGTCATCGAAACCAAATTACGACCAGGTAATTTTAAAACAAGAGACCCGGATAAAATAGATGAGTCGCTATGATCGATTTAATTTCAGAAACAGAAGAAGAACCGTCCTGTTCACCGTCATGGTGCCCACAACCACCTTACATATGTGAGAATGACCAATGCGTGTCGATATATGGAAAAGAACAGCGTCCTCCTTCAGGTAGGTTCAAGAACAATAAATATTGTTATTAGAATCTTTATTTGATATAGCATCTACCAAGCAATCGTATTGTTCAGCGGTCTATGTGTAAACGCAGCAACGCTTTCAAATTATGGTGGATGCGCATCGTATCGATCGTAATATGTCGCATTACGCACTTTCACCATATTTTCAAATAACAGTAAAGACCTATTATCGTTGATTTCTTAAGACGGCTGGGTACGCCGCATGAATAAACATTAACGCCCGCCTTTTTCGACATTTATATAAAGTCAAAATGCCAAGTTTTCGTCTGCGGCATTTGTGATTTAAGCTAAGACCGATGTATATTCCATTTTCTGTAACGTTATATTTCAAGATTTAATTTCTGTTTATCTGAAATCTTTTACCACCTTTGACAGCTGCACATTCAGACTGCGCAGAAGGGCTCAACATATTAAATTTGGCGATAGCATATGAGTCGTTTTCTCATATATTTTTATCATTTATAAATTTCATGCGAAAGCTACTGTCAAAATTTTCAAAAGGCTTGAGCCCAACGCTCACATAAGGTATACACGCTATTCAGGATAGCTATTATACATACATATATATATATACAGGGTGGCCCATACTAATAAACAAATACATTTTGGGAAAATCTATTTATAGCATGTTATAATATAATTTTCCTGTACCTACAAAGTTACCAATAGTGCCTTTTTGTAGCTCCAAAAGCTTGCGACGATGAATGGTGCCTTCCACCGTTTGAATGTCTGAACGGTATCTGTGCAATTATCATGAACAACACTTTGTACCCACCAACTACGCTATCACGTAAGTTTCTCACTAAAGTGTATCTCAATACGCCTAACAATAAAAACATCTCAGATCATCCCGTGCAAAAAAGTCCAGTACTAATTCAAGAATGTGACAGGGGATCAATATGATCATATGTTAAACATTTCGCTCTGTTGTTGAAACGTGCTTGTGTCAGTCAATACACTCACACTGTATAAACAGCAATTGTTACTTTAACAACTCTGTATTTTGCTTTCAGCATTTGCATGCGCAAGCTACTGCTTTCTGCCTTATGAATGCACTTCGAACGGTCAGTGCGTCAAAATAACAGAAATTATCATTCCACCTCCTCCTTCAGGAATAGGTTAGTGTCTTTTTAATATAATAATGTTCAGGAAGTCTTATTGATCAGATAAGTAACGCACACTTGCAAATCTATCATGTACAATAAGTTTTACTCGAATCATACAAAAAAATGACAAACTAATGTTAATAAGAATAAATTAAATAATAATGTGATTAGACTGAATAGATGTTTGCACAAAATGTATGTTTTGGCTACTTGAAAATATAAGAGAGTACCTCTCATTCGGAAAACCTGATTTCTAACTTTTCTCTCTATAGCATGTAACAAAGAATGGTGTAAAGACCCAGCTGAATGTGATTCAGAAGGTTTTTGCAAGTATCTCAAAACAGAAGTACTACCAGCTCCACAAGAAATAGCACCAGCTTTACCCCATCGTGAGTAAAATCATTATTATAATACGATATGTAGCGAGGAGTGGTGTGGTTCTCCATATAAATGCATTCAAAATTGTTGAGGAGAGATTGTAACTAAGAATAAGACGGTGATCCTTCTCACCGATTTCTCTGACAAGTGTCAGATACCATATGTACAAACCACACTCTATATTTGGGATATTTGGTTCAAACATGATAATCAAACAATACGGAAATGTCGAAAGGTTGAATTTGGCAAGACAAGTAAGCGTCCAATGATTTTCCGTTGGTTCTGGCTCCATACTGACAGCAGATTCGCAATGCATTCACTCGTTTTACCCCAAAATTAAGTTTTCATCCGAATTATGAATACGCGAATGTCTTTAAATATTACTTCATAGCTCATTCATTATATTTCTATATGACAAATTTAAAAAACAAAAAGCTCATTTCAAGTATCTGTTATCTCGCATCAACGTCAGAACTTCAAGAAAATATGCAATCTTGAAACCTATATCAAACGTAGACCTTGCCAAGCGTTGCAACGACTTCGGTACGATACTTAGAAAGGTAAAAACAGCTATTTAGCTACCTTTCGAACTATATGGAAAAAACCCTTAATTTTTTTAATTATCATTTACTTACGTTTTCAGAAATTAAATGCTCAAGTGACTGGTGTTTCAGTCCTTACGAATGCATCAACAACAAATGCATTATGAGACAATCAAGTAAGTACCAATGCTCCCAATTTAGTACTTCCCAATAGCACCACTCAAACGACAGTTAAACGTTGCGACGAACCAAACAATTATATATGTATACAGGGTGTTCCATAATTATTGCGACAAAATGATAGGGGTTGTAGAGGGCATCAAAATGAACAATTTTTCCTTATAAACCCCTGTTCGGAAATATGCCGTTTGGGCTGCAGCAAAAAAAAAAGATCAGTTTCTTGAAACAGCTTACCTACAGTAATTGCTCAAAGTGTCCTCCACCTTGCTCAATACACAGCTGTGCACGATTGTTCAATGATCGGCGAACTCTGTGGCATACCCCCGGTATGTCCTGAACATGTGCGGACGCGGCCATCACTCTTCCCAGTAGCTCTTGTTGGTTGGGAACAGGAGTTTCGTACACTAAAGCTTTCAGATAGCTCCAGATAAAATAATCCAGTGGGGTCAGGTCAAGTGATCGCGCAGGCCAAGGCACAGGGCCACCTCGGCCTATCCACCTATTTGGAAATTTGTCGTCCAAATACTGCCGCACTTGTAAAGAAAAGTGGGCTGGACCGCCATGGTGTTGAAACCACATGTTGGCTTTTATATTCAGTGGCACATTTTCTAATAGTTCCGGTAGCACATGCTGTAAGGATCGACCATAAGCATGCCCATCCAAACGTGGTGGAAGCAAATATGGCCCGATGATATGCTCGTCCACAATGCCGCACCAGATGTTAATTGAAAACTGATGTTAGTCTCTATGGATGGCTATGGCATGAGGGTTTTCTTCATCCCAAATGTGACTGTTACGGCTATTAAAATAACCGTCCTTTGTAAAACAGGACTCGTCAGTGAACAAAACGTAGCGACCAAAGTTTGGTTGCCTCAACTCCTGCTGCAGCCACCAACGACAAAAACGTCGACGCGGCAGATAGTCTGCTGGACCCATGGCTTGGACTTTTAAAAGGTGGTACGGGTGTACGATAACAAAAATGTAAACACAGCAGGCTTTTTTTACAAACCGGCGAGACCATGAAATGTGCTAGACGAACATTTTGCAGCTGGTGAATTTTTTGTTTCTCCTATGAGCTCTTAAGGTAAAATTAACTGTAGTGCTCAAACGGCATATTTACGAACAGGGGTTTATAAGGCAAAATTGCATATTTTTATGCCCTCTACAACCCGTATCATTTTGTCGCAATAATTATGGAACACCCTGTATATGTGTACATACAGAAAACGAGTCTTTTAACAGTAATGTTTCAAAGTAGTTTCATAGACGATGCCATACATTGTGGCGTTATGATCTTATAACAATAGATCATATTTCATCAGATTTTTGCACTACAGTCCGTTGTGCTTAAATATCTACAGAAATTATAGCATGTAATTTTGTCATGCATTTCATATAAGACGTTTCTGTTTAACTTGTAGCCTGCAGCTCAGACTGGTGTACCGGAGATCACTATTGCAACTTTGAGAACAAATGCGTGAAGTATTTTACTGAAGATATTACTGGCACTGCTACAATTCCACAACCTCCACGTAAGTAAACCACTGAGAAGACTTATTTTCCTAAAAAATCATTGATGTGAAACCAAATCATCCTACATCATGTAATAAATAAATATTCGAGAAGAATTACTTTTTAAAAAGTTATCGTTGTAAAACGATCATGTTTAAGTGCTCTAAGAGACGAAAATGTTTTTACCGAATTATTAGATATATTCACGATGATGCTACGTAACAATTTCGATTCGATTTATCCTGAATCTAGCTACTAAATGCGACCCAAGTTGGTGCAACTCCGGATGGAAATGTGTTAGCGACGAGTGCGTCTTTGCAGATGTTGGAACATCCCCAGGACCTCCGCCAACGCCTCCTCGTAAGTACCACTTTACTAGGAACCTTTTGCTATACAAGCAACATGCTACTTGGCAAAAATCGTACTTCATATTGGTACTGTTGCACTAAAAGTTGTTAAATATTCCTTTCAGCTCCAAAATGTGACACTAGCTGGTGCAATGGTGGATATGAATGCAACGAAGAAGGCGTGTGTGCTCTAAAGATAACAGAAACTGTAACAACCCCAGAAATAACCACAGTGTCGAAAGTACTAGGTAATGATTTATATGCTAATGTTCCGTGACATAAATTCGTCTAACTTTTCTGTCTAAATTGTGTTCAAGCTGATCCCTGAAAACGTGTTTGAGTTGGCATCACTTATCCACTACCTTTCATGTGCTTGATGAGTGGCTTTTAGAAAAAAAAGGGGCATCAATGAAATATCAATATCTATTTACATTCGTGCTAATCTATTTTCCTGTTAAACAGATCTATGCGAAGGCATCAACTGTCCGCCAGATTTTGAATGCATGCAAGGCATATGTGTCCATCCTTCAACTATTACTCAGTCACCAACAGAAATTGGTAAGTAAAAATTTGTATAGTATTTGAGTGGCACAGGTATACACACATTTGTTTATATTTGGCCGTGAATGTTACTCCACTTCTTGTGTCTGTGCTGCGAAATTATTTTGTGAGAAAACAAAAATGATAAGCATTTAAAAAATTCGCATTGATATATTGGACAGAATGAGTTAAAGTTGTAAAATATCATTTGTTATGAAGTGTTGTTGTTTTTGATGAATGAAGCAACAAAGAAAAATGGCGTTAAGTAGGTCGATTTACATTATGTTTAGTGTAAATTCAGGCCCAATGCCCTGTGAACATTGATTCAGAAAAATCGTTCAAAACAATTGTATTTGTGTCAACGATGATTTAAAAGTCTCTGGTAATACCTCCAATTTTGAACGTTCCCAGAAGATGGTAACAACCAGCTTCTGAAACGTACAAGGCTAAATTTGAATGATTTTATTTTTTAACACCGTGTCAAATTTTTATTCAAAATCGACTGAAGTTTTTCAAGTTATAACAAGGCCAAGCATTAAAGCACATCTCGACAGACAGACGGAAATGAGTAACATGTTTTTCTCACGATCTTCATGTCATATAACATCAAAAAATCTAATATCTCATTCATTTATTGATTAATTTACTTGCAGAGGAACTTCCTAAATGCTCAATTGACTGGTGTCTCAATCCTTATGAATGCATCAACAATAAATGTATTCTGCCACTACCAAGTAAGTAACAAGACATTCAAACTGATATTCGATTTCAATTTGATGTGACCAATGAAACAAAAGATGAAAACTATTACGTAACTAAAATCGTAGGAAGCTATACTACTAATCAATAACCTTTCATATGACATCATATTTTTACAACACAGTATGTTGTTTCTAAATAACCACGTAAAGCGTGGCATGCCACTTAATACAACATATAAAAAACATTTCCGTTTAATTTGTAGCCTGCAGCTCAGACTGGTGTACCGGAGATCACTATTGCAACTTTGAGAACAAATGCGTGAAGTATTTTACTGAAGATATTACTGGCACTGCAACAATTCCACAACCTCCACGTAAGTAAACCAGTGAGAAGACTTATTTTCCTAAAAAATCGTTAATGTGAAACCAAATCATCCTACATCATGTAATAAGTAAATATTCGAGAAGAATTACTTTTTAAAAAGTTATAGTTGTAAAACGATCATGTTTAAGTGCTCTAAGTGACGAAAATGTTTTGACCGAATTATTAGATATATTCACGATGATGCTACGTAACAATTTCGATTCGATTTATCCTGAATCTAGCTACTAAATGCGACCCAAGTTGGTGCAACTCCGGATGGAACTGTGTTAGCGACGATTGCGTGTTTGTAGATGTTGGAATATCACCAGGACCTCCACCAACACCTCCACGTAAGTGTCACTTTACTAAAATATTTTTTGTCCTATCTTTTAGAATCAGTTTATATCCTTAAGAAGTACGTTTATAAGCAATATTGAAGTGTGGTTTTTTATATTGCAGAAGTGATTACCAAATAAGAGCTGCAGTAAAGTAATACATAATTCCGAACAGAATCACTATGCTCGTTCTTATAGTATTAATAACGACCATTAAACATTTTTTTAGCTCCAGGATGTAACAGCAACTGGTGCAATGGTGAATTTGAATGCAACGAGGAAGGTGTTTGTATGCTGAAGATAACAGAAACAGTCACAACCCCAGAAACATTCACAGTATCGAAAACAATAAGTAAGCACTTACATGCTTCAAATTCATTGTTCTAAGACATCACCTCACCTTACCATTTTTTTTCTTGATAGTCGTGTATCACCTGATCTCCATGATTTGTTTTCCGCCTAAACAAACTTTCGCGGGTGAATGAGTGTACAACATAATAAAAGAACGCCCTATGCAACCACTGTATCAAATCTTAGTAGTGACGCTTAGAAATAAAATGAGGCATCAATGAAACAAATACATCCTATTCAATAACTATTGACATTTGATCTGACCTCTCTTTCTTTTGAACAGATTTATGCGAAGGCATCACCTGTTCACCCCCTTTCACGTGCGTTGCGGGTGGATGCGTGGATGTTCCTGAAATCACCACTCCTGTGCCCACTGCATCAAATCTTAGTGAGTGGCGTCTAGATAAAATTGGGGCACCGATAAAATGAGGACATACTATACAATTTGCATTCACATTCGAGCTGATTTCGCTTTTTTTAACAGATCTATGCGAAGGCATCACCTGTTCACCACCTTTCACCTGCATTGAGGGTGAATGCGTGTACGTTTCTGCAACCACCACTCCCATGTCCTCTGCTTCAAATCTTGGTGAGTGGCATCTAGAGAAAATTGGGGCACCGATAAAATAAAGACATTCTATACAAATATGCATTCACATTCGAGATGATTTCTCTTTTTTTAACAGCTCTATGCGAAGGCATCACCTGTTCACCACCTTTCACCTGCATTGAGGGTGAATGCGTGTACGTTCCTGAAATCACTACTCCTGTGCCCACTGCATCTAATCTTGGTAAGCGGCGTCTAGATCAAATTGGGGCACCGATAAAATGAAAACACTATACAATATGCATTCACATTCGAGCTGATTCCTCTTTTTTTAACAGATCTATGCGACGGCATCACCTGTTCACCACCTTTCACGTGCATTGAGGGTGAATGCGTGTACGTTTCTGAAACCAGCACTCCTGTGTCAACAGCATCAAATCTGGGTGAGTTGTCTAGATGAAATGGAGGCACCGATAAAATAAAGACATCCTACACAATATGCATTCACATTCCAGCTGACCTCTCTTTGTTTAACAGATTTATGCGAAGGCATTACCTGTTCACCACCTTTCACGTGCGTTGCGGGTGAATGCGTGTACGTTCCTGAAATCACCACTCCTGTGTCCGCTGCATCAAATCTTGGTGAGTGGCGTCTATATCAAATTGGGGCATCGATAAAATAAAGACATCCTACACAATATGCATTCACATTCGAGCTGATTTCTCTTTTTTTAACAGATTTGTGCGAAGGCATCACCTGTTCACCACCTTTCACGTGCGTTGCGGGTGAATGCGTGTACGTTCCTGAAATCACTACTCCTGTGCCCACGGTATCAAATCTTGGTGAGTTGAGCTTAGAAAAAAATTGAGGCTGCAAATGCTGAATTATTTTTCTCTTAAACAGATCTATGCGAAGGCATCACCTGTTCACCACCTTTCACGTGCGTTGCGGGTGAATGCGTGTACGTTCCTGAAATCACCACTCCTGTGTCCGCTGCATCAAATCTTGGTGAGTGGCGTCTATATCAAATTGGGGCATCGATGAAATAAAGACATCCTGCACAATATGCATTCACATTCGAGCTGATTCTCTTTTTTTAACAGATCTATGCGAAGGCATCACCTGTTCACCACCTTTTACGTGCGTTGCGGGTAAATGCGTGTACGTTCCTGAAATCACTACTCCTGTGCCCACGGTATCAAATCTTGGTGAGTTGAGCTTAGAAAAAAATTGAGGCTGCAAATGCTGAATTATTTTTCTCTTAAACAGATCTATGCGAAGGCATCACCTGTTCACCACCTTTCACGTGCGTTGCGGGTGAATGCGTGTACGTTCCTGAAATCACTACTCCTGTGCCCACGGTATCAAATCTTGGTGAGTTGAGCTTAGAAAAAAATTGAGGCTGCAAATGCTGAATTATTTTTCTCTTAAACAGATCTATGCGAAGGCATCACCTGTTCACCACCTTTCACGTGCGTTGCGGGTGAATGCGTGTACGTTCCTGAAATCACCACTCCTGTGTCCGCTGCATCAAATCTTGGTGAGTGGCGTCTATATCAAATTGGGGCATCGATAAAATAAAGGCATTCTGCACAATATGCATTCACATTCGAGCTGATACTCTTTTTTTAACAGATCTATGCGAAGACACCTCCTGTTCACCATCTTTCACGTGCATTGAGGGTGAATCCGTGTGCGTTCCTAAAATCACCACTCCTGTGCTCACTGTATCAAATCTCTATAAGTGGCGTCCAGATAAAATTGGGGCACCGATAAAATAAAGACATCCTGCACAATATGCATTCACATTCGAGCTGATTTCTCTTTTTTTAACAGATCTATGCGAAGGCATTACCTGTTCACCACCTTTCACGTGCGTTGCGGGTGAATGCGTGTACGTTCCTGAAATCACCACTCCTGTGTCCGCTGCACCAAATCTTGGTGATTGGCGTCTATATCAAATTGGGGCATCGATAAAATAAAGACATCCTGCACAATATGCATTCACATTCGAGCTGATCCTCTTTTTTTAACAGATCTATGCGAAGGCATCACCTGTTCACCACCTTTTACGTGCGTTGCGGGTGAATGCGTGTACGTTCCTGAAATCACTACTCCTGTGCCCACGGTATCAAATCTTGGTGAGTTGAGCTTAGAAAAAAATTGAGGCTGCAAATGCTGAATTATTTTTCTCTTAAACAGATCTATGCGAAGGCATCACCTGTTCACCACCTTTTACGTGCGTTGCGGGTGAATGCGTGTACGTTTCTGAAATCACCACTATTGTGCCCACTGCATCAAATCTTGGTAAGTGGTGTCTAGATGAAATGGAGGCACCGATAAAATAAAGACATCCTTACACAATATGCATTCACATTCGAGCTGATTTCTCTTTTTTTAACAGATTTGTGCGAAGGCATCAACTGTCCACCACCTTTCACGTGCATTGAGGGTGAATGCGTGTACGTTCCTGAAATCACCACTCCTGTGTCCGCTGCATCAAGTCTTGGTGAGTGGCGTCTATATCAAATTGGGGCATCGATAAAATAAAGGCATTCTGCACAATATGCATTCACATTCGAGCTGATTTCTCTTTTATTAACAGATTTGTGCGAAGGCATCACCTGTTCACCACATTTCACGTGCGTTGCGGGTGAATGCGTGTACGTTCCTGAAATCACCACTCCTGTGCCCACTGCATCAAATCTTGGTAAGTGGTGTCTAGATGAAATAGAGGCACCGATAAAATAAAGACATCCTTACACAATATGCATTCACATTCGAGCTGATTTCTCTTTTTTTTTAACAGATTTGTGCGAAGGCATCAACTGTCCACCACCTTTCACGTGCATTGAGGGTGAATGCGTGTACGTTCCTGAAATCACCACTCCTGTGTCCGCTGCATCAAGTCTTGGTGAGTGGCGTCTATATCAAATTGGGGCATCGATAAAATAAAGGCATTCTGCACAATATGCATTCACATTCGAGCTGATTTCTCTTTTATTAACAGATTTGTGCGAAAGCATCACCTGTTCACCACCTTTTACGTGCGTTGCGGGTGAATGCGTGTACGTTTCTGAAATCACCACTCCTGTGCCCACTGCATCAAATCTTGGTAAGTGGTGTCTAGATGAAATGGAGGCACCGATAAAATAAAGACATCCTTACACAATATGCATTCACATTCGAGCTGATTTCTCTTTTTTTTAACAGATTTGTGCGAAGGCATCAACTGTCCACCACCTTTCACGTGCGTTGCGGGTGAATGCGTGTACGTTCCTGAAATCACCACTCCTGTGTCCGCTGCATCAAGTCTTGGTGAGTGGTGTCTAGATGAAATGGAGGCACCGATAAAATAAAGACATCCTTACACAATATGCATTCACATTCGAGCTGATTTCTCTTTTTTTTAACAGATTTGTGCGAAGGCATCAACTGTCCACCACCTTTCACGTGCATTGAGGGTGAATGCGTGTACGTTCGTGAAATCACCACTCCTGTGTCCGCTGCATCAAGTCTTGGTGAGTGGCGTCTATATCAAATTGGGGCATCGATGAAATAAAGACATCCTGCACAATATGCATTCACATTCGAGCTGATTCTCTTTTTTTAACAGATCTATGTGAAGGCATCACCTGTTCACCACCTTTTACGTGCGTTGCGGGTGAATGCGTGTACGTTCCTGAAATCACTACTCCTGTGCCCACGGTATCAAATCTTGGTGAGTTGAGCTTAGAAAAAAATTGAGGCTGCAAATGCTGAATTATTTTTTCTTAAACAGATCTATGCGAAGGCATCACCTGTTCACCACCTTTCACGTGCGTTGCGGGTGAATGCGTGTATGTTCCTGAAATCACCACTCCTGTGTCCGCTGCATCAAATCTTGGTGAGTGGCGTCTATATCAAATTGGGGCATCGATGAAATAAAGACATCCTGCACAATATGCATTCACATTCGAGCTGATTCTCTTTTTTTAACAGATCTATGCGAAGGCATCACCTGTTCACCACCTTTTACGTGCGTTGCGGGTAAATGCGTGTACGTTCCTGAAATCACTACTCCTGTGCCCACGGTATCAAATCTTGGTGAGTTGAGCTTAGAAAAAAATTGAGGCTGCAAATGCTGAACTATTTTTCTCTTAAACAGATCTATGCGAAGGCATCAACTGTCCACCACCTTTCACGTGCATTGAGGGTGAATGCGTGTATGTTCCTGAAATCACCACTCCTGTGCCCACGGTATCAAATCTTGGTGAGTTGAGCTTAGAAAAAAATTGAGGCTGCAAATGCTGAATTATTTTTCTCTTAAACAGATCTATGCGAAGGCATCACCTGTTCACCACCTTTTACGTGCGTTGCGGGTGAATGCGTGTACGTTTCTGAAATCACCACTCCTGTGCCCACTGCATCAAATCTTGGTAAGTGGTGTCTAGATGAAATGGAGGCACCGATAAAATAAAGACATCCTTACACAATATGCATTCACATTCGAGCTGATTTCTCTTTTTTTTAACAGATTTGTGCGAAGGCATCAACTGTCCACCACCTTTCACGTGCATTGAGGGTGAATGCGTGTACGTTCCTGAAATCACCACTCCTGTGTCCGCTGCATCAAGTCTTGGTGAGTGGCGTCTGTATCAAATTGGGGCATCGATAAAATAAAGGCATTCTGCACAATATGCATTCACATTCGAGCTGATTTCTCTTTTATTAACAGATTTGTGCGAAGGCATCACCTGTTCACCACCTTTCACGTGCGTTGCGGGTGAATGCGTGTACGTTCCTGAAATCACCACTCCTGTGCCCACTGCATCAAATCTTGGTAAGTGGTGTCTAGATGAAATGGAGGCACCGATAAAATAAAGACATTCTTACACAATATGCATTCACATACGAGCTGATTTCTCTTTTTTTAACAGATCTATGCGAAGGCATCAACTGTCCACCAAGTTTCACCTGCATTGAGGGTGAATGTGTATACGTTTCTGAAACTACCACTCCTGTCCCTACTGCATCAAATCTTGGTGAGTGGCGTTTAGAGAAAAGATTCGGGCATCAATAAAATATCTATTTACATTCGCGCTGATCTTCGTTTCTCTTGAACAGATCTATGCGAAGGCATCACATGTCCACCACCTTTCACCTGCCTTGAGGGTGAATGTGTATACGTTCCTGAAACCACTATACCAAAGATTGGTGAGTAACTTGCGGTTAAAATGAAAACATCATATTCAATATCTATTTACATTCATGCTGATTTCTTTTTCTCTCGAACAGATCTATGTGAAGGCATCACATGTCCATCACTTTTCACGTGCATTGAGGGTGAATGCGTGTACGTTCCTGAAATCACCACTCCTGTGTCCGCTGCATCAAATCTTGGTGAGTGGCGTCTATATCAAATTGGGGCATCGATAAAATAAAGACATCCTACACAGTATGCATTCACATTCGAGCTGATTTCTCTTTTGTTAACAGATTTGTGCGAAGGCATCACCTGTTCACCACCTTTCACATGCGTTGCGAGTGAATGCGTGTACGTTCCTGAAATCACCACTCCTGTGCCCACTGCATCAAATCTTGGTGAGTTGAGCTTAGAAAAAAATTGAGGCTGCAAATGCTGAATTATTTTTCTCTTAAACAGATCTATGCGAAGGCATCACCTGTTCACCACCTTTCACGTGCGTTGCGGGTGAATGCGTGTACGTTCCTGAAATCACTACTCCTGTGCCCACGGTATCAAATCTTGGTGAGTTGAGCTTAGAAAAAAATTGAGGCTGCAAATGCTGAATTATTTTTCTCTTAAACAGATCTATGTGAAGGCATCACATGTCCACCACTTTTCACGTGCGTTGCGGGTGAATGCGTGTACGTTCCTGAAATCACCACTCCTGTGTCCGCTGCATCAAATCTTGGTGAGTGGCGTCTATATCAAATTGGGGAATCGATAAAATAAAGACATCCTACGCAATATGCATTCACATTCGAGCTGATTTCTCTTTTTTTAACAGATTTGTGCGAAGGCATCACCTGTTCACCACCTTTCACGTGCGTTGCGGGTGAATGCGTGTACGTTCCTGAAATCAGCACGCCTGTGCCAACTGTATCAAATCTTGGTGAGTGGCGCTTAGAAAAAAGATTCGGGCATCAATAAAATATCTATTTACATTCGTGCTGATCTTCGTTTCTCTTGAACAGATCTATGCGAAGGCATCACATGTCCACATCCCTTCACCTGCCTTGAGGGTGAATGTGTATACGTTCCTAAAACCACTATACCAAAGATTGGTGAGTAACTTGTGGTTAAAATGAAAACATCATATTCAATATCTATTTACATTCATGCTGATTTCTTTTTCTCTTGAACAGATCTATGTGAAGGCATCACATGTCCACCACTGTTCACGTGCGTTGCGGGTGAATGCGTGTACGTTCCTGAAATCACCACTCCTGTGTCCGCTGCATCAAATCTTGGTGAGTGGCGTCTATATCAAATTGGGGAATCGATAAAATAAAGACATCCTACGCAATATGCATTCACATTCGAGCTGATTTCTCTTTTTTTAACAGATTTGTGCGAAGGCATCACCTGTTCACCACCTTTCACGTGCGTTGCGGGTGAATGCGTGTACGTTCCTGAAATCAGCACGCCTGTGCCAACTGTATCAAATCTTGGTGAGTGGCGCTTAGAAAAAAGATTCGGGCATCAATAAAATATCTATTTACATTCGTGCTGATCTTCGTTTCTCTTGAACAGATCTATGTGAAGGCATCACATGTCCACCACTTTTCACGTGCATTGAGGGTGAATGCGTGTACGTTCCTGAAATCACCACTCCTGTGTCCGCTGCATCAAATCTTGGTGAGTGGCGTTTATATCAAATTGGGGCATCGATAAAATAAAGACATCTTACACAATATGCATTCACATTCGAGCTGATTTCTCTTTTTTTAACAGATTTGTGCGAAGGCATCACCTGTTCACCACCTTTCACGTGCATTGCGGGTGAATGCGTGTACGTTCCTGAAATCAGCACGCCTGTGCCCACTGTATCAAATCTTGGTGAGTAGAGTTTAAAAAAAAATGAGGCATTAAAGAAATAAAGAATTCCTATTCAATGTGTGTTCACATTCGTGCTGATTTCTTTTTTTCTTGAACAGATCTATGCGAAGGCATCAACTGTCCACCAAGTTTCACCTGCATTGAGGGTGAATGTGTATACGTTTCTGAAACTACCACTCCTGTCCCTACTGCATCAAATCTTGGTGAGTGGCGTTTAGAAAAAAGATTCGGGCATCAATAAAATATCTATTTACATTCGTGCTGATTTTCATTTCTCTTGAACAGATCTATGCGAAGACATCACATGTTCACATCCCTTCACCTGCCTTGAGGGTGAATGTGTATACGTTCCTAAAACCACTATACCAAAGATTGGTGAGTAACTTGCGGTTAAAATGAGTACATCCTATTCAATATCTATTTACATTCATACTGATTTATTTTTCTCTTGAACAGATCTATGCAAAGGCATCAACTGTCCACCAAGTTTCACCTGCATTGAGGGTGAATGTGTATACGTTTCTGAAACTACGACTCCTGTCCCTACTGCATCAAATCTTGGTGAGTGGCGTTTAGAAAAAAAATTCGGGCAACAATAAAATATCTATTTACATTCGTGCTGATTTTCGTTTCTTTTGAACAGATCTATGCGAAGGCATCACATGTCCACCACCTTTCACGTGCATTGAGGGTGAATGCGTGTACGTTACTGAAACCAGCACTCCTGTGTCAACAGCATCAAATCTGGGTGAGTGAAGTTTGGGCCACCAATGAAATAAAGAGATCCTTTCAATATGTATTTACGTACATTCATGCTGTTTTATCTCTCTTTTGAATAGACCTATGCGGAGGCATCAACTGTCCACCACCTTTCACCTGCGTTGAGGGTGAATGTGTACACGTTCCTGAAACCAATACTTCAAGGATGGGTGAGTGACGTTTAGAAAATTCGCAATTTACCACACCACGTAGGCAAGGAATTGTAACGGCTTTAAAAACTCGGATAAAGTATTCTGTTTCAAAATTGATTGATTGGTTCTGACTGATGCCACTCTTTCATAGCGTTGGTGATACTGAGGAATCAGCAGTAATTAAAGCCGCATGATATGGTTTTCCAGAAGAGTGACCAAACTGACTAGTTTCCTTATTACTATGTCTTTGCCCGAATTCATTGTAAAATGTATATTCCTGTAGTAGTAATATCAGTGAACCTAAGAGCCGACAATGAATTGTTACTGCGTACTTTTGGAATGTACGTGCAATATTCACAAGGATGAAATAAGGGATTAATTATTACGTATTCAAATAAACGAAATTTTGTACAAAAATCACTCTCAAAGTCTTAAATATAAACGGTTAGGATCTGAGAAACTTGAAAATTATAAGAATTCGCTTCGGGAAGAAAAATGAAATTCCTTATCTAAAACATCAATTAGACACTCCACGAAATCAAGGAAAACGAGATTTGAAAGAACCGGGTTCCGGTTTCGGTCCTATGTCGAACAATAATAAATTATATATCAGCGGATTTACCTTGAAGAGTTTAGTATAAAAAAGAATAGTCCGTTCACTGCATAATAAAAACGACGTTGAAATGTCCTATTCAATTGCCGATCGATCCATCCAATTCATTTTTCAATATAATTGTGGTTTATTTTAGATAGAAAATTGATCCTATTTTCCCTATAATATACGTAAAAAATCATACAGAAAATCGATAATTATCGTTTTTGGAAACAGCGATAATTTGCCCTAGCCCTAACGCTCAAGTCGTACAGAATCATAAATTTGACACACGTTGACGTTGTAATCTTTGTAAAGGATATGATCTGGTTGAATAGCTTTGTAAAGGAATTGTTATTTCTGGTACTTTTATCCAATGAGAGCTAAATAACATCAGCCGTCTGTGCATGATGCGTTATTGGAACAGTATTCATGTAGCAATTACTTTTGCGGTTTTTTCGCGTGTCGTTTTGATTGATTCACTCTATCACTTGACTTCTTATCATGATGGCAATCGCTGTAAAGAACTGTTGGCGATTATTAGAAGCCTTGGGGGATGAGAGAAATAAAACTGCAGAGTGCAGACGATGCCGGAGTAATCACTATATTTTATTAGCAATATTGAGGAAGTGCAGAACAGATAGACGCACCCGCACGGACACTTGATCACGGAACATTCACTTTATTACATCTGTAACACCATACAACAGCAACTTCAAACTGTCACCCGATATGGTATGCCAACCTAACCTATCAGACAACGCAACGTTGCCAAAACAGTAACATGCGATAGTGCATATCTTAACAAGAACGTCTATATTCTGGAATCTACATTTTTACATATTTACGCGGCTTGAGCCACTGTTGGTTACTATTGCCGACGATATGTCAGAAAATGAAAATGACACGTCGGCAAACGTCAATCAAACGTTACAAGTTAGAATGTTGCATTTCTGATTGTTCCAAGTCGACTGCAAAACCACCACCATCAATAACGGAACGTTAGTAATGAATTATTCTTCTGTTTATTAAAGTGGTATGATTTGATTTTTGCCATACTAATTTAATTTTTTTAACAGATATTTGCACCTCGGAGAATTGTCCACCACCGTTCATATGCATTAATAATGAATGTGTCGTTGAAACCACGACAACACCAGAAGCAACTACCTCCACCAAAGGTATTATTTCATTATTTGATAATGTACTCGTAAAATGCAAACAATTAAAAGAAACGGACTTACCACTAACCGTCTCAGCGCTTCACCTGGTGTGTGAAAGTTTATTGAACGTATTAAAAAAATCCACTTATAAATAGGGTAAAAAATTTGATACATAGCCAGTTTCTTCTTACTCTAGGTCCTCGAATTTTTTTTCGAGAAGTCCTGCTTCAGTTGTTATTGGACCAACCCCATGAACTATCCCTTTAAGTTCTTCCTAATACCAGAAATCCATCGGATTGAGGTAAGGAGATCTTGCTGGTCATTTTCGAGGATCAGGAGCATTTCGACTGATCTAGCAATTTGGATAATGTTCATTCAAATACTAAGTGACGCCTCTAAAAATGTGTTGTGGTGCCCCGTCATGATGAAACCGCAAATTCTGTCCCCGTTGTAATGGCATGTTGTCTAAGGTCTGTTCCAAAAATTCTGGTAGGTTATTGGCTGGAAAGCTAAGGTATCCTTCTCCTGAAAACTTTGGGGGTAACTCGAAAGGGCCAATTAACTGATCGTCAAGAATACACGCCCAAATATTTATTTTAAAACGTTGTTGGAAATGCCCTTCACGAATGGTATGAGGATTTTCTTGGGCCCACGTGTGAGTATTATGGAAATTTAATATCCCGTCTCGTGTAAAAGTATCTACATTCGTCTGTCGCTAGAATGTTTTTGAAAACATCCGGACTCTCAAAATTTTTGTGCAAAAACTACTGACAGAACGTTAGTCTGCGAGGATAGTCTTCTGGTAACAAGGCCTGCACTCATTGTACATGGTAGGGATAAAGCAAATTTTCCCGCAGGATTATATGGACTATGGTATGCGATAGTCCTACGCGGCGGCTTAATTCCCGAGAGCTGATATCTGCGTTGATTTCCACGATATTTAAAATTTGTTCCTCCTGCTTTACAGTAACCTGCCTTTCACGAGTGCGAATATTAGTGGGCTGAACACTTCCTGTATCTCGAAGTCTTTAGTACGCGAGATGTAGAACTAATAAGAAAGAATAGTGAAACACAGTTAAACCATGCAAAACAACTACCTACGATGTATATAATAGGTATCATGCCTGAGGTCATCAGAAAATAATTATACTTTAGAAAGATCAAATTATATTCACGTAAGCCACTTACATCGAAATCTATAATTTGTAGACGTGAATATTAAGATTCTAATACTCTCCATCAATCGAGGTCTTTATATTTCAGTGGTAAAACGATGCAACAGATACGTATGTCCACCGCCGTTCATCTGTGATCCCGTCGAAGATTTGTGCAAATTGGGCAACGTTACGATACCAAAAGAAAAAAACGCGACCCAAGAAATATCAGGTAATAACTGTAAACAGTACAAAACATAATCAGATTTCTTTACACAAAAAAAAAATAGAAATACAACAGCACCGACGCCATCTATCAAATCCATACATTTTTAAGGCTATTTTGCGCTGCTTTCGTCGGTTGTTTTACTTGAACCGTTCCAAAATAACCATAAAACTTCGTCATTTACCGTTGATCGGACGATCGAAAGCAGTTACAAGAAATCTAAAACACCGTTTCGTTGTTATAGAAGGACTAACCTGCGACCGTTCATGGTGCTACTTCCCGTATCGATGTGATGAATATGACCAATGTATGCCACCACCTGTTTCAGGATACCCAATGCTACCTCCTCTGCCTACAGAAGGTAAATACCTCATCTGTACTTGAGAATCCATCAATTTTCGTAGAATCAACGATAATGTTCAAACGGTATCGTTTTAGTACAGCTTAAGATGCTTCAACGAAATCTATCTATATTTGAGCAAGTAAGTGCCTTTTTAAAAAATATTTTATTTCCGAAATTACAAGTAATTGGCGTGAAGGCTAGATTCTAAGTGAATTACAAAATGTAAACTACAATGTTCATTTGAATGATAAGACAAAGGAAAATATCATATTACATTCTCGCTGTTGCCAGGCGCTGCGTAAAGGTGCTGAGTTGCATCTTCTATCTTCTAGTAGGATACAGGGTAGCCCCATCACTTGAATACATTTTGCTGGTTGATGTTAAATTTTCTTTATTTAAACATTTAAACAATAGTTGCTTATTAACTACAATTTGCACAAAAGTATTACAAGCCAGCATATAGGTCAGTCAATACTGGTACTTGGCTGTTGAAAATATATGACTAGAATGGTACTGAGACCAGAAACAGTGTTTTAAAAGTTGGGATCCCAAAAGTACAAATTCATGCTTCACGTTTGTAACACTCGCGGTTATTCAGAACCAACACTCTGTCTATCTTGACGTTCTTACGAGCATCATGTATCTTTAGTTGTTTGTACAAAATAAACCAACAGGAAACGGAACTGCGGGCAATGATATGATATGATTTCTAATACAATTTTTAAACTACCCGCGAAATCGAATCGATTTCCGGCCAGGAACACGAGCACGTGGTGCGATAGTAAAATGACTACGGAATGCACGTTGCGTGGCTATTATCGAACGCCCATTAGAACGCGCGTTCCACCTTCTTCCACTCCATGATAGTGACTACATCACGCGTCGCGAAAACTTTACGTATCACTCACGATACACATAGACCGAAGATAGGATGTTGCGCATGTGGGCGGAGCTTCGTGACGTCACCCAGAGAGTTGTCGGCTCGTGGTTATCAGTGGCAGGATTGTCGTATCGTTACTGCAGTGCACGTGTATCTTGGTTAATACTATATAGTGCGATTTGTTGGTGATTTTTGGTGGGTTTGTGACTTGTATTAGTTATACATACTTCATATACCCTGTCATGTTAGTAAATTGATAAAACGACAATCAATCTAAACAGAATCCTTGCAAAGACATGAAATTCCACAGTTTTCCTCGAGACCCGAACCTTAGCAAAAAATGGCTACATCCTACAAAAAGAAAAATCAAGGGGTTAGGGTTTGCTCAAAGCACTTTAGTGAAAGTGCCTATAAGCTCAATTTGAAACGTACACTTTTGGGTTACACCCCTAAAAATATTGTGCTCTAAAAGATGATGCCATTCCTATGGAAAGTAGTAGAGTTTAAGTATAGATAAGGTTATATATTTTGGGGCGAAACGAAGGCGCACACTCAGAGTATTGCAGCGTAGAGGACATTCCACTAACCGCATCATTAACGAATAAACTGAATGCACCTGAAGTATCAGCTGACTGTAACGAGGAAGTTTTAGTGGAAGAAATAGATGACCTCGAGTATAAAGGGCTGATGAATTTGTCCGGCTTTGTTTGCCATAAATTGCAGGATGAGAGGTTGAAAAGTTCCTCAAATGAAACTTATTCCTGGATAGACCATGAGAGTGGATTATTTAAACTTTGCACAGCTTTCATCAATCAAATTGAGAAGCTTAATAAGGAATAGTGACAGAGAAGCAAAATTTTATAGGCGAACTTCTGTTGAAGAGCAGCAACATTGACTGCCCTGAAAATGCTAGGAAACTATTTTTCAGGTCAAGGATGTTCTTCCGGATCAAAGAACTGAATAAAAGCTTGAAAGTCCAGAAAAATCGTAAAAGGAAATGGAGAAAAATTGTGGCATAGACTAAGTCATTTCCATTTATTGTTATACCGCCAGCTTGCTACAAAAAGATGATAACTCCATTTTTCTACTTTTCCAGTTGGGTACATTTCTACTCTTGTATGTAGTTAGTACTTAGGATGTTCTGTGAAATAAGGATGAATGAATGTAGTGCAGTATTGACTTTATGAGCATGTTAATCCTGCTCCACAGAACATACTAAATTAAAGGTAATGTAGAAAAATCTTGTTTTTACAGGAAAGTGACGATACACGCTCTATTGTGGAGCTAGACAGCCGTTTAAGCTATAGCCTGTGAGATAGGAATTACAAGGTTGAAATTTTTTATTTAAATCCGCCATTTTATTCTGTATAAAATTTTAATGTACATTGTGTCTCTGGCACCGCTAAGACGAATTCAACGACACCTTATATGTGAAAATCCGTCGAGCCGTTTGGCCTGTAGGTGAAAATATGCACGTTATCCATAATAATCTAAATGAGAGTCACTCTCTGCGTGACGTCATGCGCGCCGGCGGACGAAAATCAAACAGCGGAGCATCCGGCACTGCGTTTCACTCTCTCCAATCTACCTATCCCCACTTCCGTCGGAGCAACCGTCATTTTAGAGCGCCCAATTCAAATCAGCAAGTTTCTCTGCCCCACCCTGTATTATCAGTAGTAATTATGGGGAGGAGAAGCATAGCAACTAGGTCATCTTCGAGCGTATTAGGCGACCTCGTAGCATCAGTAATCTTGCACCGATCCAGTGCATGATGCAGACAACACATAACGCGACGTCAGTGGCTAGGAATTAAACATCCGAGGCGGAGACCCGAACCCGCGAATACGGATCGACCGATTGCTACCTCGAAGCGATAACCACTCGGCTACGGGAGGAGTCCATGGTAAAAAAACTGCCGATGAGAAGATGACACTGATTCAATATCAATAATTCTATACTTAACAAAATAGTAAAATCGGATAGAGGAAACTCCGCTCAGCCATATCACCACCGGCTTCAATAGTTTGGATTGGCTGATGAGCGTACAAGTCATGCAATCTTGACTGATTGGAATAGAAGTGTTTTTCGTAACTAACTTGTTTGTTTCAGTTGCAGCACCGCCTGGTGGTTGTTCGCCCGATTGGTGTTTGCCTCCCTATTTTTGCTACTATGACATTTGCGTGCACATACGACTGACCGCACGAGATGCGAACTGCGAAGGAATCATTCCGGTGCCCGTAGCGGGATGAACCGTCAAGATCACCTTGCAGGTTTGAAAATATCATCCATAGGTTATGTTATAATTAATGAATAAATTATTTAATAATCGTAAGATGTATTCTTCTCCTAAGCATACTATCTAAGCGTCCTCGTGATGTTCTTCCTACTACAATTTGACATAAAGCGATTCAGTAGTATTGAATTAATTGAAATTCGTTTTCCGATCTTCAAATGTAATAAGTTCTATGTATTTGTCAGCTACTAGTCAATCATCAACGTACATGAATTGTCAAACAGATTTTAAAGATCAATTATGTACACTAAAAATAACATTGGTCCAAGGATTGATCCCTGTGGAACCCCCATACTAATAATCTTCGCTTCTTTAGAATAATACAAATCACAATTTTCAGTTGTAATAATACTTGAGAACGATTGCTTAAATATGATTTCGTTAGTTCACCGACGATTTAGGACGCTGCTATCGAATATGGTAATCGAAAAAGACTAAAATGACGCCGAACTTTATTTGGCGTAATAAAATAGATTCTTTCGGTCTTGCGATGTGAAATCTACGCATCTGATCGTCCAAATTTAACGTTGTATTGATTTTCGATGATACTGACCTGCATATTACATATCCGGTACCGGACATGTTCCCCTCTGCATTTTCCGGTGTTGCACGTTCGCAGCTGCCTGGACACTCCGCCGTCACATGACCTTGAACACGGAGACCAATCCGACCAATCAGACCACCCGTTTGAACGGATGTCTACTTCTTCCAACTGAGACGACAGCTCCTACAACAAAAGAATAATCAGAAATATGTCTCAAATTGAATGTTCTTTCAGGATTGGACAGATATTTTGAGTTTTGCCAAAAAATCGTGTAATGAAAGACGATCGTGCGCCTGGTGAAAACATTGTATCGAACCATTCCATTTGGAAATAGTGCTTTGAATATTTGAGATAAAACTCGTTATGAAAGTTCAATTAACTATGAAAGTACGCCATAATTAGCGAAATTTGACGTTGAGCTGTATGTAGTACAAATATATTAAACGAATATCATCGTCTCAAATTTTAGGATTGTTTTAAGTTATTTTTGGAAGCACATTTTGCTACAGTTTCGCTATTTTGTGAATTGCCCTGTATAACTACTTTTCCCTCTTACCTACAGTCACGCTATCCGCCCCAAAAATAAAAGAAATCGAGATTCAAACGGCTTTTTCGCATTTCTTATCCAAAGATCGACACTCAACCTGTTTATTTAGCGTTCTCCGATTTATTCTAAATTGCCTTTGAAAGCATATCGTGTGATTTCTAACATATACAACGGCAATCGAGTTTTATTTCGATGAAGCTGTCGAGTGGAAATACCGATATAATACTGAACAAAATCCAATTCGAGGGAAATTCTGCAGGAGGGCGGCTATGAATAAAAAAAATATAACCATGTAATTCTTTTCACGGGCAATCATAACAGGTATTCCCGACGGGCAATCACGATGAGCATTTCTGACTGTAAAATACGACCTTCATACATGACGGTCAATCACGACAAGCGTTGATAGCAAACAGTCGCAACGAGCACTTCCGGAATAATGGCGAGCATTTCTGGCGAACAATCACGATGAACATTCCTGACTTGCATCCATGACGGACACGTGCATTCCCAACGGGCATTTCGAACAGAGATTCACGACGTTTATTCCCGCCTGCCAAACACGACGAATAATCACAACGCTCATTACCGAAGGGAAATCATGACGCGCATTCCTGACGATGAATCACGGCGACCGATCACCTTGTAAATCCAAGACGCACATTGTTGGGCTTTCCAGGTTTTTATGCATCTCAACTCTATATTTCACATCCGTTAGGTTTTTGATAATATTTGACTGTTTTTCCTCGATGGTATACATTTCGAAACATCCGTACGCCTTTGGTAGAAATAAATGAAGCCGTTGCTTAACTGCAACCCACAGATAAACGACTACAAAGGTTTTTAATATTAGCACAGGCTGTATGAAAGAGAAAAAGAGAGCAGGATAGAGGAACAAAGGTGGAGCTCGAGCCGAGATTAATTTGTCATCTTTCGCGAAATCAAAAACCGCCCCAGCTTGAAGACACGCAAAAGGGAAATTTGCCAGACAAAGACTCATCTTGTGGAACAGAATGACGCTCAACAGGCGAGCGACGGAAAAATAAAGATCTTTTTAAACTTCTTAGGCGTCTTGTCCACTGGAAATGGAGACGGTTTCTTGAACCAAAACCATTTTCATTTACAGCATATAACGATTTATTGTTTTAAGTGTCGTGGTGCTGAATTTGTGGTAAATTAACAGCCCAGAATAAAATTGACATCGGACTCTGAATCTACACATCCCATTTAGTCAGTAATTGAATTTTTCTCCGGAGCAAATTGATCAGGGTACATTTTATAATTGAATTCTATGCGGTATTTAAAAAACGAAAGTTTGCACCGGATTGGATTACCAAAAATTAAAATGCTTTAAAACGGGTCCGAAGCCACTCTGATTGTTAAATAGGGTCTTTCATGATATTCACATTATAAGATAGAAAAATGCCAAATTATGTGAGCAAAAAAAACATTTTCATTATCGCTGGCTACAAGCGAATCAAAATGAGAACGAGTAGGTAATTTGAAATCTGAATCTTACCTGTTCGGATTCTTCTTCAGTTTCCAAGCTATCCACGGGTACTTCCGGAATGGTAACATTCTTGTACAGGCACTTGGAGGGATCGAAAGACGTCGACTGAAAATAAAGAATTCAAATTGATAAAGATCTTCGGCATGTTGCGCTTTCAGAGGAAAGAGATTCTTTAAGATTTTAACGACAAACTGTGCAAAGGTAAATTAAGGACAAAATGCAAATTCCCCGAGCAATCCCTTATCGTATGGAGCTGTTCAACTTAGCTAATTACTCAGGAGAAGAGCATACAAGAGGCAGACAGCAAATAATTGCGCTCCAACACAAAGCAAACCAGACAATGCGCTCTATACGCACGCAATGTTGAACGGGAAATGAAAATACGAAAAAAGGAGACACAAGGACAAAGTGAAAGCAGGAATTTATCAACGCCGGCTCGGCTGTCTTTTGGATACCATCAACCTTATGGCGTTGGGCTTTCTCTATACTTTCCTCAAACCACTTTGAAGATTGCTCGAATAACGAGGATTTAGGTAATTGAATATTCAAGATTGTAATTTGTATATGATGCAAAATATATTAATGCTCGCGGATATAAGCAATAATAATATTAGCCATTCCTGGCCGCACATTTTTAGAGTCCCAAAAGGTATGTGTGCGAAATTAATAATCAAGTATTGATCGAATTAAAAACTGATACTAAATCAATACTACTACTTTCTACATCATTAGATGTGTCAGATTGAATCGTCTTTTGATATATACGTAAATCCGAGACCAGGTTACCGTTACCTGCTCATTTTATAAATACGTTAAGTCATCTAGTTGCCTATTGCCAAACTCAAACTCGATTCAATAAAATGCTGTAGAAAGCTGGTTAGTTGTCAAGGAAAGTAAGTTCATGCTACCATTAAAGGGCAATTTATAATATTATCTCGGTCGTTGAGTAGTTAGTAGTTGCAAAAAACTGTAGAGCACGTTTCTAATTTGGTGAAATATCCAACGTATCCCCCAGATACCTTACCTGCGCCTTGGGAAATTTTTTAGAAAATCGCAAAAGTTCAATTATTATCTGTAAAGGATACGGAATCAGATAGTTAATTCTGCGCTAACGATAAATCTGTCCGTAATTGAAACCAGATCTTTCGTCGATATCATACAAATAATAAAGAAAACGGAAATGCTCTCGGATTGCAATCCGACGAACCCGCTGTGATTCTCATCGATCCTTTCAATAAATTTGTTCATCCAGTCAGAGTATGTTAAAATGTAAGCAAAAGAAAGGAATGTGAACTCAAAGTCTCTAAGAATCGTTTGTTACTGTGTTCTTCCACTGTGACAGTCATTGAAAAACTAAAGTTGATTATTCAATTTAACCTCAACGAAAGTTCACCATCAACCATAACGAAATGTTGATTTGCTCGGTCAGTCTCAGCCCACAGAAAAGTTTTTTTAAGTAATCTTATTGATCTGTCCAATGAACAAAACCATAAATGATGAGACTTGCTGTCATGTTTCAACTAAATAATTCTATACTCTAATAAATGTTATTATGGTATCCGAAAGGTCAGTAAAGTCATTCATTTACTACCTATGGTTTCACTTATTGGCAAATTAAATATGAAGATTCCGCCCTAGCATGTGTTTCACAAGTTAAAATAGTTAATTTTCCTGTGCTGATTCGATACAGTCTGATAACTAAAGAGAGCAACGCCCAACCCCTATTCTGCAACTCTTGTTCCTCCGCCCCGCTTCTAGCAAAGAATAATTGGTATCATTCCAACTTCGGCATTGCAGTTTCAGATTGTTGTGTCTTTTATTAGGTCTTTTTTGTAGATTTATGTCTTATGGCAGTGGTCGGCTAGACAAATAATGTCAAAATGCTCCGGACATAATATACAAAATGTCAGTTTTCATTCCGCTGTTCTGTTGGTAGACGATTGCCAACTTTTCATGGCAGTCTAGATTGTCAGTTTGGATGATGTAAACTTTAGGATATTTTTCACACATCGGTATTAACGTATAAGAAAGATTGTATAAATAGTGTTCCTTAATGATATATTACGTGAAGGGAGTCATTTTCAACAATTTTTGTGATCAGTTCGTTGGTTTTAAATGTTATGTTTATGTTATCAGTTGTTGTTGTTCATTACCCCTAATGTGTTTAATTTTTCCAATTAAATTAATAATAATTTTGCAAGTTAGACAATAGAACGGCTTTTATTTTTTTACTTGAAAATGGCGCATCAAAGGAATGGAATTCAAGACAGATCATTTGTTTTAGATTGAACGGGGAATTCAAAAATAATTTTTATTTGGAAAAAAACCATTGGAGTACTGTTTTTTCTTAAAAAACATCGAAGTCAATACCCGTACGCACGCCATTGTTAAAGCTAAAAATTATTGCATTAAAAAATATTCAACTTTATTAACTTTCACTACGTACTAAATATCAGTGAAGTATCTGAAGCGGTTCTGAAAATATTAATTAATTTCCATTTTTTTTTCCTAAAACTTCAACACCCCGAGTTTTTGTAAGGAAACATTTTTGGACCATAGTTTATATTATTATAGTTTAACATTAATTTTTTATGTAGATTCACACCCTTAAATATTCGCTTATCATTAAGGAACACGCTGTATATTTATGAATATAAGTATCAATATGAATTTTAATTTCATGTAAGGCCTAGGATGATTTTACTATTCAATAAGTGGTTATAGAATTTTAGTTAAATTATGGGGTATCATAGAAAGGGTAAAAATAATAAGGAAAAAAAAAACGAGTCAATAGGATTGGGTTGAATCTGGAAAAAATAAGGGCAAAAGCTACGCGTTGACCTATCCTCCATTAATCTTGTTGGAATGTTACTCATTTAGGGGTTAACCCTCGATATATCTCGTCGAATCTACTAAGCTGATACAAAACTAAAGCCTTCGATGGTTCCACTGACGTTTTCGATTCTGTTTCTGCATTAGTTTGAGTAGAGTTTAATGCCTGTCACACAAATAACAGTTTTGCATTTTTTGCGAATAAGTGAATGCAATCATCATGAGTAATAAGTCTTAATAAAGATTGTATTATCTAAGAGAATGCGGATATACTGTTACAAACGTTAGAACTTGAGCAGCATTTTTTGATTTAGTATGTCTTTATTGAGTGAACTTGAATTAATGACAAAATAACGATGTACGAGTTTGAATGTCAAATATTTAAAGTCACTAGATACATAAAATCCGTCACACCACCAATCTGCCAAAACGCGACATTGCAAGAGGGAGAAGATCCAGTTCCATTTATCTGTCAGCAGCAGCAGAAGCAACATTTTCCGATTGCAAATCCGAAAAATCCGTTTTCAGTTCTGCCTCGACACGGTCTCTCGTAATTCCAGTCGCGGAGTCGCAGCGCGTCTCCGGGGGGAACAGAAAGACGGATCCATCGTAGAAGGATTTGGATCCGACTGCTTAGCTGTCATGGCCTGCCGGATGGCTTGATGACAGATGCAGCCACTGAGATTTATATCGAGAATGCTCGTCGAAATACTTCCGTATAACGACACAGATTTTTCGTCGAGTATTTTAACATCGTTCAAAGACGTCCATCGCTAATTCCTGAGAAATTCTAAATGTTATCAGCATATTTCTTATTATCTTTGTCATAAATTACGCGGATACCAGACAAAGTCAGAAAGAAACAACATATGTAAAGGGAAAAGATATGAAAGAGAAGGAAATGCTTCGGTTAGAGTGATTCCATGGTAACTGGAAATCGATTTTTTTTTATAATCTAGAAACTTAAAAATTGAAATTCCATCAACTGCATGAAAGCTTTTAAAGAGCTTTTAAAACGCTTCTGAACTTATTGAAATTAGTTCATGATCACCAAGACCATCGATCGTTATTGCGCACATGAAACTTCGAGAGCGGATTCGAAAAGCACTAATCCTGAAACTGTGCGAATAACACATCAACGCAACGGCGGCTAAAGCGGCGGCAAAAACAAGCGGTGGCGCGGCGAAAGGCAACCGTTTGGCAGAAATTTCCATTGAATCTAAATTTAATGGAAAACATGGAAAATCCCGTCCGGCGTTAGCTGACGGTGCGGTGGTCAGAGTGCGGCTGACATCTTTCCGAGAAATTTTGCAGGGCACCGCTTCGCAAATTGACCATGGATAAAGGATCAACCACAACGCTTGACTTTGTTTAAGCTCTGTTTACACTTACAGGAATTAGAAAAGAAGATTAATAACAATTTCGTACGACTATAATTGAATATAGTTTTAGTTCCAATCAACTATAATTATCTATATAATCCAATTCATCGCTAGTCGCAAGGTAAGACCAGCAATGGGACATCATATTCCATAAAAAGGATCAATCACCCTCTTCTCGCAACATCTTTCTATGTTTTCTGCTGTGGTTCTCTTTAATCTATCTTCCTCCATCGTTTACATAATTTAACCACATAACAACCTAGGTACAGTTAACATTTGGTACTCACAATTACCAGTTAAAATGTAATCGATGGAAATACGCAAACTTAACAACCTACAACTAAAATAGAAATCTCTATTCTAGAAAACGGCAGATCGAATTATATAATACACGGAGTGCCAGTGCGGATAAATGATATTGCCGGTAAGATATTCGATTCGCTGCTGTGTAAACTCGGCCTAACCATGTCAGTCGCCGTTTTGTCTGCCCCCTAACCGTCCGCTCGTCTGCCCCCAGATCGTCTATCAATCTTGTCCGCAGCGTTTGCGTTGCGATGCTCGTTTATCAGCAGAACGTCTGCCATGCTCCAAGCTACGGACTTCAGCCGGAGGTCTACAGCCTCACCGTCCTATCTATACAAAACATTCGTCACGGGAATCATCTGCTTGTTGTAGCTGCTGATGCCGAAGGAAAAATATATATTTTTGTGAGCAACCAGCCGAGCTCGTTTGAAAAATGGAATGGAAAGCAGACATCAGACACCACAGAACATCCACTTTATCGATTTTAAATTCGCTGAAATGCTGCTTCTTGGCACGATTTGAATACATCCCGCCGATGTCTATTCTGGTTGGAAAGGATGTTTGCCAGCAGAAAAATAACAAAGAGAGAAATGTATACATACTTATACAATCTATTATGGTATTCTTTTTACAGCTTCAACGAATTTGCCTTCGATAAGATACAGTAATGCCACATCAGGTGTATTTTCAAAGTTCATAGCAGTAGTAAGTATAGGTGATAAAGTAATTGAGAAAGGTTTGAGAATTGATATGTTGATTTTTTCACTGTTCGGCTTCTCCTGCTGAAAAATTCATGAAAATGACATGCCGATAATCAAAATTTTATACTGGGATTGGGACAGAAGCGAGTATTGACAGTGGAAGTGGATAAGTTTCTAAAAAGGTGAAAGAGATGAAAGAAACTGATAAAAGACGGAAATCCGCTGAACGGACATCTGTGGATGAACGATGCATCCTCAGGTGACAGATATAATGTGTGTTGGAAAGTTTCATATGTCTCTGCAAAACAAACGAAATCAAACTGAGAGAAATCTATGTCTCATCTTCCATAACGCAGTGGAAGCTGTGTTTCAAATACGAAATTCCTCTTGAACAAAGAAAGCCCTACATGACGAGCTGATAGGCAGAGACAGAAGCTGCGCTTTATATCAAGTCCTGCTAATAATATTTAAATCACAAACAATTCAAGCTGAATAATAAACTGTGCTTGACACTGTCATGTAAAGTGACGTATGGTGATAAACGGGGGTTTGATATTGATGGTGCGTAGAGGCCGTTCTCCTATTTTTCAGGTCGATTAACTAAATCGGCATCCCCCTGAGTTGTGAATTGAGCCCCTCTTCAACTCGTCTAACTTTGCTCTATGAATCGAACCGCGAATGCCATGCATTCAGTAGCGTGCAGGCGTACTTCATGATTAACTTAAATATCTGAAGCATTTACTCCAAAAGTAGGCATATATGGGACAAATTAACTTTATGTTTTTAAAGCTGGATGGACTAAAATACATAGTTTGTATTAATGTTTCCGATAGAACCATTGCTACCTCCCAAAGTTATAAATTGAAAAAATACTTTTGTTAAAGCTGATGAAGCGCGGATTCCGTCATTTCTACATTTCTGTTAAGCTTTTTTGGGTACTGCTATACTCCTTTCACCACGTCGCCTTCTAACCCTGGCACGACCATCGTGCATGTCTAAACAAAATCGAGACTCATCACTAAAGACAATACTGTTCCATTCCTGATCCCAGAGTGACCGTTGTCTGCACCACTCAAGGCGATTACGTCGGTGTAAGGATTAGAAGGCGACGTGGTGAAAGGAGGAATCCACAGTTTTTTGTTGAAAGACATGTTTATCACACTGTTGGAGTTATGGTTTGGGGTGCTATAGCTTATGGTTCCAGGTCACCTTTAATCTTCATCAGAGGTAACATGAACGCGCAGCGTTATATCCACGAAGTTCTAGAACCACATCTTTTACCCTATCTTGACACCCTGGCAGATCCAACTTTTCAACAAGAGAATGCCCGACCACATGTTGCAAGAGTCATAATAGACTGATGTCACATTGTTACCATGGCCACCAAGATCTCCCGACTTATCCCCAATTGAGCACGTGTGGGATATGATGGGTAGGAGATTGCTTAATTTGCAACGTCCTCCTCAGACTCTAGAAGCACTTCGAGAGGAGTTGGTGGGTGCCTGGAATGAGATACCACAGGAGGACATTGACCACCTGATCAGAAGCATGCCTAGGCGCGTTGGAGAATGCGTAGCACATCAGGGTGCATCCACACATTATTAAAGGTACAAGGGCTTTAAAGCAGTGCAATCATTTTGAAATTTTTATCATTTACTTATTATGCTTCATTAAATACTTATACAAAATTTTATTAAAATAAAACCATTTAAACTGGGTGTTCGGATTTATATGTCACTTAGTATATTTATACATATACAGGGTGACTTTGAAGTTGAGTCATTAATTTTCAGATAATGATTGTAGAAGGAAGATAAACCAAAATATGTGTGTAAAAATAAAAAAAAATAAAAAAAAATGTCACCTTGTTTAATAAAGTATCGTCCCGACAAGTATTTCAGTGCGGACCTGTATTTGATCGTGCGGTCTTGGAGCAGCATGCCCTGACCTGTGAGGTCTTAAGTCACCTGATTCACGAGCCCTTTGCACTACATTAACAAAGGCACGAGGGGTTGGTTGCACTCGATTGGGAAACCGATTCGCATAAATCCGTGATGCATCCGGGAGCATTTTGTAAAGACTGCCCCCCCGTAAATAAGAATCATGTCCACAAGTTCAGCATTTTCGTAAACATTTGCCATTTTTGATTTCGTTTGAGCCACGCAACAAACATTACTATTCACTAACGCGTTATCGACTGACGAAAAACATCGTGATAAACGTTTCAAATTCTTTCGCTTTTTTGTTTCCGATGCGATGAACCGGTCAGGCGGATTATATCCGTTGTCGCCAAACACGAACATATTATTGAGACAGGGCGGTACTCAAACTTCCAAAGGGCTATAACTTTGTTACTTTAATTTTACCAGAAAAATGGTAAAGGAAAAAAACATTTCTTTTGATCAGATCTACTCACTGTTAAAATAAATGACTCAACTTCGAAGTCACCCTGTATATATATAGAAAGAGAGAAAATGATCATGCGGAGAAAGGCATATAACAAAAAGTAGAAAAATAATGGGCAAAATCCGCAAAAAAGAGGAAAGTGGATTCGAGCAGAAAATAGGATAGGTAACCCGAGCGATACGTATTTTTGCTGGTTGGCTTCATCAGGCCAGAAATGAATGCATATATGAAACTACAAAAGTAGCTACACATGCTCACACATCCGGATACGGGTGTAACCTGAGGAAACGAAGATGGAGAGGGAAAAAACGACAGCTTGTGGACTTCGACGAAGGGCTTGATGCAAGCATTGGTGTTATGGATGGTACGTATGCTTGTGAATAATCCTTTGGACAGAAGTTTTGGATATATCAGTTTCTGCTCCAATTTGCCTTGCACTTAAATCGGGATTTTCCTGCAACTTTAATAGAACCTCCAACTGGTTCGCCTCATTGGTGACACAGGGATCGTTTATACATTTTTTACTATATTCCACTACTCCACTTGATTCAAAACGTTCTCGTAGTGTGGAAAATGTTTCCGACGAACGAACACCATATTCACCATTTCTTCTTTAGAAAAATTCATTTTCAAACACGTTTTTATTACAATGCTCACAAAGCTAATTTTGACTGTTTGTAACTAACCAACAATTTATTTGTTTCCAAGGATGATGCGATGTTTTAGGGAATTAATCCGTTCCATAAGACACGTGCTAGTAACCGAAAAAATAGCCTTAAAAACCCTTATGTGTCTAGTATAAAAAAAGCTTATAAAGAATTGAATGCAAACTTGCACAAATATACAGGGTGATGCATTTCAGATTTTTGAGAAAAGCTACAATCTGCGTTTTGACATCCTGTATGAGCAAAAACTAATATTCTAAAAAGTAACAAATATAATAAAAGCTGAGGTGTGTAATTTTTTTTATACAAAACTCAGCACTTCA